GTAAAAGAGCATAATTTTTATTTCACGCTCAGCTCTGTTCATACGAAAATGTTAAAATTTCTCCTGCCGAGCTGGCAGTGGTGAAACTGGCTCATCTCGACCGAGTTAGCCAAAAATATTTTTACGATCTCCGCGCCGTGAACCTTCTCTATGATAGACGTTCTCTGCTTTATGTTCGGCGGATAAACGTTCTCTGCTGAATTATCCATGCGAATTACAATTCGTTTCAGCTTTTAAAAGTATTAGGTGGCAGCATTTACTGCCCTTTTTACTTTGACAGTTCGTTGAATCAGTCGTTTTTGACATTTCATTTTAATATTCCGCAGAAAGTGGAAAATTCTTTCACTTTGCTTTTTTCCTGAATACCTAAGCCAAAAATAATATTTATCATAATAAAGCAATAACTAAAGTAGATTATTATTATTAAATAAAAAAAAAAATGCAGTAAATAAAGGCGAATCATAAGAATACAAGTTGGCAAGAATGGCGACTCTAACATTGACTGAAACAGGTAGCACTACAACAATGCATATGCAAGTCCATCAGGATGGACATTCTCCAACTTTGGAGGAGCAGGCAAATCATTTGAATGAACAGCAGCAGCAATTAATAAATATCGATAACATGGGGAGTATTAACCACGGATTAAACGAAGATGTTGTATCTATACCCAAAGAGGTTATGCTAATATCGCTGGTATCGCAAGAGCAGGCTCTTTATAATCCAAAGCATGAGTTCTATCGTAATACACATCGAAAAGATTCTAAGTGGTTAGAGATTGCTGACAATGTCGGTTGGACTGGTAAGTATGTTTAATGTAAATGGTGTGCCATTTAATAGCAATAATAAATTTAACATGTAGAGGCACAATGTAAATCAAAATGGAAAGCCATGCGTGACCAATATTGCCGTGAACTAAAACGCAGCAAATTTAATATCAAAGCTAATGTAAAATGGAAATATTTCAAGGAATTGGAATTTTTACGACCTTTTGCTTTGTCGAGGAAGTAAGTTTTTGTTTTTATTTTTTTTTAATTTTTATTATGTTCATCTTTTCTTTTGTACATATACAATAATATCATATGTATTAGTGAAACTAACTGTTACAAGATTAGTGTTATGAAAATATTAGGAATAAACGTTTAACTTGTCCAATTTTGTGAAATTAGCTATCGACCGCGCGCCACAAATAAAAACGAAAATTTAACTGGGTCGAACGGAAAAAATACTTGTAACAAATTACCAAGTATTAAAATGGAACATGGTCAATTTAGCGCGTCTGATTTTACCGCTGATAACGTTTTGAGTGCAGAAGATAAACTTGACTCAACAACTTCAGGCCTTCTAAACTCATTAAGCGATGAGCAGCTGCACTCAGTGATGCAGCAACACAGTGGAAGTTGGAATTATCTCACAACGACAACGACCACAAGTGATGTTCACACTTTGGAAGGGAATGAGCATAGCCCTAATGAACTCGACGACACTAATTTATTACAACATACACACCAGAGCTCAGAAGCTGATGATATGCTGTGCGCTTTGGTAGAAAGTGTACCGTCTACAAGTGTGCAAATTCAACAAACACAAGCACACAATGAGGAAGAAGACGACGATCCCATACACACGTTCCTCAATATAGAAAGTTTCTTCGAAAAAGACCTCATTAACATGATTCAACAGGAAGATATTATATATAATAATTTTCATCCAAATTATCGCAATGCTAAAATGAAACTTGAAGTTTGGGATGAAATTGCACGCAAACTAAAAAAGCCAGGTTAGCTTAAAAGCTAAGATAATATTCCAATTATTATTTTTGTGTATCTGTTTTAATTTTAAGTTGGGCGCTGTCGTTTGAAATGGAAAGCACTGCGGGATCAATATATCAGAGAACATAAACGACTGAAAGACCGTGAGCATTCTGAATTATTGCCGCGTTGGAAGCACTATGATGCGCTTACATTCTTGCAAAAGTTTATAAAGCATAAAACAAGGTAATCTGTTATATTTTAAGATGAGTGTATATTAAATATAACGCTTTTAAAAATATTTCTTACAGCGAGAGTGATGCTAAAAATGCGGTACGATTGCCTAAAACTGAATTGGAGCTTGATATAGATGAGCATATCATCGATAGTCCGCCATTGCCATCCCCTATAGAAGTAGTACAACACGATTTGGATCAGCAAACATTGCCAACACTGTCAGGTCCACATACGCAACATGACCTGCATACAGCAACACATGATATGTGCGTTGTTAGTGGCAGCAGTGTCAGCGGCTACGATGAAATGGATATTGATCACTACATTATCGGACATACAAGCGATACTGGCGTCAATGATGATGGGATAAACATTGATACTGGCGATGACGAGGAAGATCGGAAATCGCATCAACATTTTACAGAGTATCCGCCAAGTTCAACAAATAACATGACTGCCAATAACAGTGCAAATCAACAAGATACTGGTAGTGACGTAAAAACGGAGATGAATGAATTCAAAGATATAAAAGAAAGTAACATAATGATACAACAAGATGATGTATCATTACAAACACAACTACATCAACATCAACAGCAGTCATCACATCAGCAGCAGCAGTCACAGACACAGTTGGTGCTATCACAACAACATCATCAGCCACCGTTAATGAAGTTAACGCCGCAAACCACCACGCACCACCAACATTTGCTCTCTTTAGATGTTGGTGATGAGACAAGAACTGCCACACTTACGACTAGGGATAAATCCCTCATGCAACTGCATCACCAACAGCAACCGCAACCGCAGCCGCAGCAACAAATACATGATTTCAGTAATGAAATAAAGCATCAACAGCCCCAACAAGCGCTTACAAGTGGTATGGTGAAGAGCAGTAGTGCGAATTTAACTTCCAACAACAACTGTGGCATGTCAATACTAAACCCTAGTACCTCACTCAGCATCGATTTACAATCTTTGGCGAGTAGTTCGCATAATAGCTCGACGACAACAGCGATCACGACGCATGCCCCGTCCACCACAGTCACTGCCGCCTCTCTTCCAATAGCTGATAATCAAAGAACGACCGACACTTTTGGAGACGATGAGGTCGGCGCTTTCTTCAAAGCAGTTGCCATGAAAATACGCAATGCCAATATGTCGCCGGTGTCTTTCACCGACCTACAAATCGATATTTTACGCGTGATAAACACTACATTGCGCCACAATTAGTTAGAAGCTCCTACAGCACATCGCGCATGTAATTTTTTGTATTATCTTATATAATGTAAGCACTTAGTCCTTTATTATAAATGTTTTTCAATTCCTCAATGTACTTTCTTTTCAGAAATTTTTCATATTTTACTAAGTTTATTCTTTGAGCGTCTTACAAACAAGAAATCTGTTGCAGATATGTTTTGTTGGTACGTGTTGATTTGTGTAAATAGGCTATGTTTAGTTCTTCAGTACGTCTTGAAGTTAATTTAAATCATAACACTATTACGGAACAGTTTTTTTTTTATTGTTTTAAAAGTTATTAAAAGTAAATTTCACGCGCAGATAGCTGAATTTTTTTTTTTAATTTATTCAAAATTAATGTTTTTTAACTTAAATAATCTTTACATTAACTAAAGCTCTTCATGAATTATTATGCCGTTTATAAATTATGTTAAAAGAAATGGCTAGATTTGTGCCAAAGTAGATTATAAAAAAGTGGACTTGAACTTGAGCAAAGTGTGCAAAAAAGTCCAACAGTGGCTGCGAATTAGCTATAGATTTTGTTTAGTGCTATGCTCAATTGGTTATATGTAATTAGCGGTATTATTATATCCGTAAACTTTGCACAGAAATAAAATCATTTTATATTTGTATTGTTCTCATTAATATAAGAATAATTTCGAACGAAAACTTTGTGCATCTGCAAATAGATATGCTTTTATGCATATATATACGTATATATAAATTATTTGTAAATAAAAATTTTAGCTAAACCAAATTATTATTAATTTTTGTTATCATTTTAAGAAAGAAGTTTGTACTTTTCACAAAAATTAATTTAAAAAAAGTTGATTTCGAAATCAAGAACTCTCATGATACCGAGAAAACATTAAATTTTTGACATATACATAAATATTTACAAACAAACACATTTTAGAAATCAATTCAAGGTTCTAATACATACTAAGTGCTCGGCACTTTTGTTTATAATGGGTGTTACAAGTAGAAGTACTTTATTTCATGGTGGAAAAATTTACGCCTGAACAACGTTTCCAAATCGTTAACTTTATTACGAAAATTCATTACGAAATTTTTTGTTTAGTATAGTAAAACCCTCAAAGTGTTTGGCGTTCGTATGTGTAATTTTTTTTATGACCTTTTAAATTTTTTCCTTATTTCCCATGGTTTCCCATCTTAACAAATTAATTTTTTCCAATCAGGCGTACTAAATGGTCCAGATATACGAAAGCTGATTAAAAGTGACGCATTCAACAATATTTTGATTGATATACATATATTGTATGGATGGCAGGCAATCAAAGAAGTAATAGAAGGCTTGTTAGGAAAGCATCGTTCTAACAACTACGATGTTTCTGTCGCAAGGATGTTAAGAGCATTCTCGGAAATACGCCAAACTCTTTGAGGGTTTTACTATACTGACCTAGTACCATCACCATGACGTGGAATTTCTCACCCCACCGGTTTGGTGTGCTTTGTTGACCGATGGAATCATCGATCCATATTTCTTCAGAAATAATGCCGGTGAGAACGTAACCATCAACAGCAAATGTTATTGCGCCATAATAACTGTCTATTGGATGCCTGACATTGAAGCTCGTGATCTCGTGGACATTTGGTTTTAACAAGACGGTGCCACTGCTCACACATCACATCAACCAATGAATTTATTGAGAATACACTTCGGTGAACTGATAACTTCACGGTTTGTACTGGTCGATTGGCCACCAAGATCGTGTGATATCACACCGTTACACTTTTTCCTCTGGGGATATGTAAAATATATGCGCACAATCCCGTTTCATTCGCCAGTTATCAGTCGAAACAGATTGAGGAAAAGGGGACAGGAATTTGTTAAAGTTACAAGTAATTCAGGAAAGTATCTTAACTTAATAATTTTTCTTATTGGTTTACCAACCAATTAAAACATAAATTCAAGAAGGAAGCTCAACCACCTGTAAGAAAAACAATACCAAACTGAATTATGTAGATAAATTAGGCGAGAAAATAAAGAGACAAGTATTCTACATTACAAGATCGGACACAAGAGTATTTTTGAACTTTGTCAAACACAAAAGAAGAAGCAATAATGATATTCCGTCCATTATGTCCTTGGAAAATCAGTCGGCAGACTCGGGAATTGAGGTTAGCAATATGTTTGCATCCTTCTTAAACAGTCGTACAATCAAGATTCAGTGCACCGCGTTAATCGAAAATGAGCCTGCGCCGATTACTACCGTTTAAAGAGTTGAGACTAGCATTAATGACCTCTGTTAAGTAATTAATTTTACCAACTGGTAGAGTTCTCAATGCTTTGTTCAGATGAGTACCATCAGCATTGAGTTACAATCAGAGTAGAAGAGGTTGTACTTACTTGTCCTCCGGTATTTAAAATACCGTAACTTCGAAATATTAACAAAYAAAGATAATAACAAACAGAAATGAATGATAAAGAGATATGAGAAGTAGAAAGCTTAGATAAAACAGTATTGCCAGATCAGACTTAACATTATTTAGAAAATAAACTTAATTAATGTAAATAATCCTAAACATCCTGCCCGGTCAAGTCGGTCGACTCGAAATGCTCCTTCTCAAGCAAGAGACATAGTTTCTGGACGGCTCGTTTCATGTATCCTCCAGCGGTTTTCAAAGTGACATTGCGGACCACACCATCAGCTCCGGGATGTACTGTTGTCACTCGACCCAGGCACAAGTTCTCTTGTTTGACTAGGACGATATCATCCACCTTTAGATTTGTTGGTGAGATTCTAATCACTCCATCGCTGCCAAAATATCTGCTGCATTTGACGTATCCATTGCCATTGCTTCAGTCGGTTGCTAGGGATATGTTTGATATCAGGTTCGGGGACCGCCAGTAGCGGAGACCCAATTAGGAAATCACCAGGCGTTAACGCAAGTTTCTCCTCAGGGTCGTCATAAAGTGGTGTAGTAGGACGGGAGTTGAGGCAGGCTTCTATTTTTACAGCCAACGTCTGAAGTTGACTGTACCCCATGACCTGCGCACCTACGTAGCGTGTCAAATGATGCTTAGCGGACTTCACTGCAGCCTCCCAGAGGCCTCCTTGATGTGGCGCACTGGGTGTAATGAAATGCCATTTCGTGCCTGAATTGGCTAACGATTGCTGATTATTCTCACCCTGCCATACTGCGAGGTCTTCCTTCAAGAGTCGGTTGGCACCAACAAACGCTGTACCGTTATCACTATATAAATCCCGAGAGGGACCGCGTCGGCTGACGAAACGAGTGAAGGCATCTAAAAATGCTTGTGCCGATAGATCATCAACCACCTCAATGTGTACAGCCTTGGTGTCCATACAAACGAAAATTGCGAGATACGATTTGATAAGCGTTCGAGAGCGTTTCGTTCCGATTCGCAATATAAAACGTCCACAGTGATCTACACCCGAGGAAATTAATGGTCTAGCGGCTCTAAACCTCTGCCCAGGTAAGGAAGCCATTTGCTGCTTCAGGACTTCCCCTCTGTGACGCCGACACACTACACAGTTATGGATGAAACCTTTGACTGCTCGCCTGGAACTCAGAATCCAGAAGCGGCGACGAAGAGTGTGTAGCATGAGTCAGAGAACTTAAAACATAGAGAAGGTGCAGGTTCGATGTCGAACATTTTATGAGATTGTGATAGGGAATTCACCTCACAACCACAGAATTCACGATGTGAAATGTTAACATTTTTAACAGTTCTCCACATTTGGACTTGCATATTTAATAACTTTATTTCATTTTTACGTAATATACTCAATATTTAGTATATTAGTATAAATATATTTGTATTATGTTTCCTACTAAAATTACTAATTAAATTTATCACAACATTATATAAATACATCGTCTATCATATTAATCTTATTATCTGTTCATATGATTGCATGTATGTACATACATATGTATGTATATGCATGTGCGCGTTCAGAAATTCAAATAATGATGTTATCACTTATCAATATATTACATGTGCGCGCATTGATCTGCATGTTCATACATTCATATATACTTATATGTATATACATACATATGTTTGTATACACTTCCGAACAAATAATGCACAAGCATACAAACATACATATGCGTACACATGTGAATATGTCACCAACAAAAAATTGAAACATTGTTCTAATAACCAACAACTGGCAGCCGAATTGGCGAAGTCCAAATGTAGTAAATTTTACAACAAAAACGATTTCATTCATAAACGCAGGCGCAAATTCTACAGGCGACCTCGCTTCATTCATAAAAACAGACGCCGTAACATCWCCCCGAGCATGCCTTTGCCAACAAGCGTCTTTTCGCGACGATGGCAAAAGCTAACAAATCATAAATTGAACATCTTTCTGGTGTTTGTTCTAAGTGAGAAAAATGGCAACGTAGGCTTTGTCGATTTACAATATTTGTCAATTCTATAATATTTTTCMGTGGCTCGCAAAAATCAGCGTCGATATGTATGCAAGCTCATACATATGTATACATATTTACGCTAGTTTGTGGGCGAAGCTGTTACAGCGGCAAGGGAAGCGGTAACAATCGGCTTTCGTTTGTTAGTTTCTTTTGGCACAGCTCGGAATTTCTACCAACAACACAACGTTGTGATGACTCTTTGACAATACGAGAGCTTCGGCCAATGGTTGACCGTGACAACATAGATGCGAAAGATTCGTGCGGCACTTGTTATTATGAATGTATGTACATATGTATGTGGCTCGCATTTGCTTTCGTAAACATACAGAAAAATGTGCGAAAGAAATAATAATAAAATAATGTATAAATATGTATGTATGCCTTAGAAATTCTATTGCTACAAATATGGAAATGATAACGAAATAATGCGAATATGCATATTTCGTGAAGGTCATCAATTTTCTTTGAAGAAATGATGTTCATTTTGAACAACTTCACTTTGTAATAGTCAAAATAAATATAATTTATTTGAAATAATTTAAA